TATGTCCCAAAAGACTCCATATATCACACTAAATATATTGCTCAAGAGCCTTCATTACGAGGCAAATCCTTAGTCATTTTTTCCGCAACTTAAATCTGATTTTTCCCAATCTTTATATTTTATATCCAAACATCATATATAGTCATATCATGACTTTAAACTCATTTAAATAATGATTAACGAGTCACATATTCATCTTAACTTACTTAAAACTTCGGCAAACCTTTTTTATACTTGTAGAAGGATTTCGTCCTTTTTGAGCACACATTAGATAATCTTATGATGATAGTGACGTCTGAAATATGAGGTGTAACAACATGTCCCCTTAGAAATATTTGTCCCTGAATGATAACTCTTAAAGGCTTGCGAAAATGGGACGTAACATCGTTAAATCACTTTATATACTTTCAAAGAGGATCTCATTTTCAAACTTACATCAATTGACTTACGACGTACTTTCACGTATAAAAATATGGGGTGTAACAAAAGCTAAGATCGAAAAGTTAAAGAAGTACAAAAGGTTGAAGCTTTTATAGGAGAAAATATAATCATTACATGACGTTTCACATTCGGAGGCGACCGGCCGATGGTTGACACGTATCCGAAGTCAGAACGACGTGACTGATGGGACGTTTTGGCTTCTTCATCGTCTTGGTTGTAACGTACAAAGGAAGGAACCGGGGTACATCTATCGTTTTCCATCATTTCGGCAAACCTACTCTTTGAGAAACGAGGGAACTATTTGTATACGGGTAAACTCGGGGTCAGCACACGCCCCAAGTTCTCGGTGAGTCAGACAAAGTACGAATGTATGAGATAGAGACCGAATCTGAGAACTCTTTAGTTCAAGGCCCGACAAGTCAACACCCCCCACCCCCCCGAACCCGGAATCTCTGGTTCCAAGACCTCGTAAAGCATTACAAACAGGTGCACACGACTAACAGAGGGCTGTGATATCCGCATCCAACCGGATATCACGGTATGGATCTCGCTCGATGCCGGTAGCGTATCCGTGATTGATGTACAAGGAGGATTTTTATCCTTTTTAGAGTTGTACTAGCGATGAAACTCTCCTACTATATAAAGGGGAAGATTTTTCATTCAATACATATTGTAACATGCATATCAAGGCAATACTAAATTATTTCTCTACTTTCTAGCTATTGAAAGGTTCTTATTTTAATCATAGTTCTTCATAAGTATTTGACTTCGAATCGAGGGTCCGGTCGAGGAAAACACCATTACTAAGCTAAAATCCGAGCCCGGGCTCAACATCACAACTGGTTTGGTTATTTATCTCATTTTTAATTCGTTTATCTAACATTCTTGATTACTTGTGTTGAATCAATCCATATATCCTTAAAATCGCGTACAAATTTAATTGTTATCCGTTTTAAGGGTAACCAATTATAAAAATATGTGGTTCATATTTGGCACTAAATCTTGATAGTAAATTTAGAGACTCGAAATGAAAAATATTAAGATAAAAAAATTTGAAATTCGTAAACGTGAATCGGATAAATTGATAGACGTTGAGTAGTGTAACTAGAGGTGAAAAAAAGAAAAATTAAAGTCATTGAAAAAGATTTACTGTCCATGCATTCATTGTTAAATGCATGCCTATTATCACATCTTGGGAGGTTTGGAGAGCTAGATGTAGTGCCAAATATGACTCTATCAGGACTAATGTGAGAAGAACAATTTCTCTGATTGTTTTATCCATGTTCCAACTTGTCAATCTTCAATTCCAGCAAATTCGGTTGTTCCCAGCTGAGAGGAGATCAGTCAGCTTTTGAGAAGTATTATCCATTTTGAGAAATCCATTATTGTTAAATGGATTAAACTGAAGTCATCATATGCTAAATTAAACTTTGATGATAGTTGCAAAGAGGGAAAGTGTGGAGCTGGAGGTGTGATAAGGGATAAAGAGAGTTGCCTTGTCTTTTCCTACTCTTTAGTACTTGGTTCAGGAACAAGCAACCGGGCAGAAGCAGTTCCTCTTCACTACAACATTAAATAGTGTCTATTTAATGGTTTTCATCTTATTAGTGCTGAAAGCGACTCTAAATTATTAGTGGATTGTGTTAATGGCCGTAATAAAATTCCTTGAAATATTGCAAAAGAGGTAGAAGAACTTAAAAAGTTCATGGAGCAGTCCAGATTCTCTCTTAATCACTGTTATAGAGAGGGAAATCAAGTTATAGACAAGGTTGCATCCATTAGTCACTTTATCCCTCATTCCCAACTGTTTCGAGTATTTTCTGAACTTCCTCCTCAAGTCAAGGGTCTCATGAACATGGATAGATGGGACTTTCGGTATTTCGAAGGACTAGACTAAAGAGAATATGTATTACCTTTGATCCTCCATGACCATGCAGTCTTGTACAGTAAGAATAGACTTCCTGGTAGTACTTTTTTTGTATAGGCTGGATCTCCTTCTTACAGGCACATAGCTTGTGTAATGTTTCTCATATGCATTTACTTCATCTCAACTGTAAAAGTTGGCATCTGCTGTCTTACAAGGGTGATCTAGGGAGTTAGCTAGTTTATCTATACTCCCTCAGCTCAATGTATCTTTTTTGGAGATGAATAAAATGCGCAGCTTATATATAAAAAAATTACACTAATTCATTTCTCAAAAGTAACTTCCGAATCATCATTTCTTATTGTGTATTTCATCCTCATTCCCCAATAAAGTTTTTCATTGCTCTACGGAATCTCTTAACGTTTTCTTCCTCATTTCCCTTTCATGTACTTTCAAAACATTACTTTAATCTGTTTTTTCTTCAATATCCACTTTTCACTAGCAACATAGGGTGTATATTTCTTTGCTAAACGAGAGAGTGCTTTAGAGGTCATGAGTCTGCTTTTCTATTGGTATCATTTGTTCCTTTGAAAGGGAAAATAGTGCAACTTTTCTGAAGTTATCCTTTAATGTTGTCAAACGTAGGGGAGCTTAGAGGTGACTCTTCCGCGCATCATTTGAATTCTAAACTTTTTTATTTTATTTCGTATAGTTATTGGGAAAGAAAAAATAAATCAGAGATAAAAGTTAGTGCTTTCCTAATTGAGTTATAATCAACAATGATTTTATTCAAAAGTTTAAATGAGATTTCCACTGAATGAGTTTAGCCTCGGTAAGGTATAAATCGGAGATGGTGCGCGCATAACATCAATGTTTACACAACATGACAACACTATTTAAAGCTTTGATTGAAAAAACTTAAGATATACGCAACAAACCAATGCATGCAATGACACAAGAATAATTCTTGCTCTTCTAAAGTTCACATCAAAATTTGATAATCGTGTAGGATCCATATATCCTAATGTTTTAGAAACAATACCTTCCAAAGTATTAGGTATTTTGTTGGCATGCATATGTAAAAAAAATACAATAATTAACATTATTTGATGACAAATTTACTTGCTAAGGTAGATACCCATAAAAAGACTATATATGATACTAACCAGGTATTTTATGCCAATGCCTCATTCCTTTCATTTCCATTAATAGCTTGTTTAGTGGGTTAGAAAGAAAAGCTTTGCTAAAAGGAAAAATTACGCGACACATAATATTTTTCGCTCGTTTTAAAAAATTACCATTCGTAGCTATATTTGAATTTTATAGCAAATTCACATATAGTACTGAAACAAGAGATCAATTGTTTATAACTGAAATAAGAGAGCAACAAGCGCTCGCAACTTGTTGGTTAGAGCGTACGCGTAGTAAGCGAAAGTCTTGAGTTTGATTCACAATAAGAGCATTCTATTATTCTATATTTTTGTATTTCGCCTTGGTTGAATTAGCTGCGCGAACGAATACAATTGATACATGTTGTATTCGTTACGTGAACAAATATAGTTGACACAGGTTGTATTCGTTGTGCGTCTAAATACAAGTGATACAAGCTAGTAACAATTGAACAATAGCTACGAATTGCAATTAGGTAAACTATAGTTATGTATGATAATTAAGCTCTAAATTATAGCGCTATATGCAAATTCCTTTTTGCAAAATAATTTTCCAAAATTTGTTGCAAGCCCAGTAAAATGGGGCATTTGCATATATACCCATTTTGAGGACCATCATTGATTTATACCCGCATTACACAAAAAATTGCAAAGTGTATCCGCTCATATCTGAAGTAGTTCAATCTCTTCAGTGCAACTTCAGAAATCAAATCTTAAGTTCTCATATCTTTTAGCTACAACTTCAGAAATTCAAATCTTAAATAGTTCAATTTTTAGTACAACTTCAGATTCAAGTTCTTCTATCTTTCAATTGCAACTTCAGAAATTCGAATCTTAACTAGTTCAATTTTTCAGTACAACTTCAGATAACTTCAGATTTAAAATTTAAAATCTTAAGTAGTTCAATTTTTCAATACAACTTCAGCCAACTTTAGATTCAAAATCTGAAGTTCTCATCTGAAGTTCTTAAACGTGAATTTATTCTTAGAATTTCAACAATTCAACACACGATTCAATACCCAAATTTACTCCAAATGAGCTCAATTTGAAACATAACTTTCAAAAATCATAAAGAACAAATCCCAAATATCAAATTGTTAAAATAACAACAAATTTAATAAATTTATTTTGCAACTAAAAAGAAGAATAAATTTTCACTAGGCAGTCATCCTAGTGGTATATTTGCTAAAAAAAGAAGAAGAAGAATAAACCTTAAACACAAAGAAGAAGAAAATAGGAGTGAAGAAGAAGAGGAAAATGTATGTTTTTGAAGTTGCTAAAAAATTGAATATCAGTTAAGCATTTTTAAAAAAATGGGTACTGATACAATCGGTGATCGCAAACCTGCGCATCACATGAAAATTTTACCAATAAAACAAACCCTGTATCCTTTGCCATGAAAATCGGATGAAATGGGCCTATTGACAAAGAAGTCCATATAGTCAAGAAGCCCAAAGAGGAAAATCGTTTTCGCAATTGACCCCATATTTTTCTATCCCTTAATCGTTTTCGGAATTGACCCCATATTTTTCTATTCCTCACAATCTCATTCACCATCTTGTTACTTCTGCCGAACTCGTCCTAAAAAAGTTGGAAAACCCTGAGTAAAGAAACTAAAAACTAAAACCCTTTCTCAAGATTTCAACGAGCGAGCACTACAATCGGACAGAGAGCCAAAGAGAGAAAAGATGAGAGGAATCTCAGTGATACTACGGCGTTTAGTTGGTTGCAGACCATCTTTCACAGCATCAGGACGACGCTCTTCTGAATTGAGCCAGACATTAATGGTGTCATCAGCCGCCACCGTCTCCTACTCAACCCTAACTCTACTGGAGAAGCCCAATCTACTTCCTGGATTCCAAATTACGGCAAACCTCATCCCTGATTTGCAGTCTCATCACGTTCTAAATCATTCTAGAAACTTCTCCAGTCCATCTTCCTCAGGTTTGTTAGCTACATATGATAGCCTCATAGCATTTTAGTTTTGAATACTGAAAAGTCTATATTTGTATGCTAAATCAGAAAACTAGTCCAACTGCATTTAGTTTGACAAATCTAGCGGTTTTTAGGTTATCCCGTGGTTAGCGTGAAATATGTAAAATCTAGTTAGTGCTAGTACAACAAGGGTTTTGTGGTAGAGGTACGTCAGGAGTTTGAATCCTGCTGTGAACTAAGTTTTGTATTTAAGTAGAGAAGGGAAGAGGGATGGGCTCATTATCCACTGAGTTCCAAAGCCGTAAACGACTAACTTCTTGGTTATCCCGAAAAAAGGTTGATGATTTTGCAGGACAGAGTTGGTCAGTTGACTATGACAAATTGAAGAAATATTGGTCCAACAATTTTTGATCTTCAATTATAGAATTTGTCTGAAAACATAAAGATGTCCTGTTTAGATGTTCAAACACCTATCTGCTGCATTTTTCTTATCTTAAAAAAAAGACCACCTATCTGCTGTAACTACATTTTGAGAAAGAAAGAGCAGAAAGAGAAAACAGCTCCAAAATTAGTGACTGATTGTTTTACTGAATTACCTACTGCTGGAAGTGCTGAAAATGTTGCCCTGTAAATATCAAGAACCTGAAGGATGCTGGAGGTCGTGTAGCAACAAACCTTGTCAATTAAGGACACTGTAGACGGTGTATGTTTATCCTGTTAAGGAATTGAAGGATATTGGAGGAGTAACAGCATATATACTAGTTGTATCTACAGTTATTAATGCTTAGCTTAGGATGGCTCACACTAGGTTCATGGAAAAGTTTCCTAGTAATACTTTGCTCGGATTATGACCAATTGTGTTCAGAAAATATAGATGTAACGCCTGCAGTCAGGATAAGCATGTAACAATCACCTGAAGTTGAGGTTCACAGGGAGGAGCTAGAGTTGTCAGCCAATCTGTGTTTTAAGAGCACTGGGCAGACGTAAGGGTGTACCTTTTCTTGTAGAGTAAGTGGATTTGAATCATTTGATAGGTGAGGATCCTCAGTTACTGTGAGAAGAGTTTTCTTGCCTCATGAATGTGCAATTTGAACCCAAGGAGAACTTGATGATAATGGTTGATGTGACCCCCCC